AACCCTAAACCCTAAACCCTAAACCCTAAACCCTAAACCCTAAACCCTAAACCCTAAACCCTAAATCCTAAATCCTAAACCCTAACCCTAAACCCTGGAGTCCAGGGCCCCCCGAAGTCCCACAGCTCTGGGCCAGGAGTCCCCGGTACGTGCCAACACGCCCAGCGCGCTGGCAAGTTTAGGGTTTAGGGTTTAGGGTTTTGGGTTCAGGGTTTCGGTGATTTTGGTCTTAGGGTTAGTCGGTGAATTTGGGTTTAGGGTTTTGGGGCCTTGGGGTTTAGGGTCAGGGGTATGGGGATGTCGGGATTTTGGGTTTTCAGGTTAGGGTTTAGGGTTTGGTTGAGTAGCCCTCTTCCCGAAGACCTTAAAGGCCTAAACACCAGAAACGCTGTGCCCCAACAGCCTAAGCAAAAACCCCTGCACCCCTAACCCCACCCCCCAAAGAAAAGAGCAACAGACAAAGAAAGCAAAAGCCTAGATATTCAAGTGTTGCCACACAAAGAAGACGGCTTTTTCTAAACCCAAAAGCCTAAACCTAAACGCTAAATCTAACGGGCTGTCGCCCACAGCCGGGCACGCCCACCAGCAGCAGGACAACGGCAGCAAGCACAGCAGCAACAACAACAACAACAACAACAACAACAACCACCACAAGCAGAAGGAGAAGACTCAGAAGAAAAAGAAGAAGAACAAAAAGAGAGGGAACAATCAAAAGAATAAGAATAAGAAGAACAAAAAAACACCAACGCGCCCGCGAGAGCTGCGCGGTCTGAACTAGGTGCCTCGTCTGGTCCGCGGGTTTTACCGTATATTGGGAGCTAGCACCCACGAGTACAGGGCTGGGAAGACATGAAGGGTCTCGGAGTCCTGATTGGCCGGAGCCTCATACAAACACCGTAGAGGTGTTCGTGGCCACACTTTGGGAGCGTCGTCTACCGTCTTCATGTTCACAAACACCGTGGAGGTGTTCATGTTCAGAAACACCGTGGAGGTGCATGGCCACACTGTGGAAGTGTGCATGTGCAGTTTTCACGTTCGCAAACACCGTGGAGGTTTTCATGTTCAGAAACACCGTGGAGGTGCATGGCCACACTGTGGAAGTGCGCATGTACAGTTTTCACGTTCGCAAACACCGTGGAGGTGTTCATGTTCAGAAACACCGTGGAGGTGCATGGCCACACTGTGGAAGTGTGCATGTACAGTTTTCACGTTCGCAAACACCATGGAGGTGTTCATGTTCAGCATTTGCAGTCTTCACGTTCGCAAACACCGTGGAGGTGTTCGAGTTCACAAGCACCGTGGAGGCATCCACGGCCACACTGTAGAAGAAACCCGGAACCTTACACCCTAAACTCTAAATCCTAAACCCTAAACCCTAAAGCCTGAAGCCCGACCCCGAGACCGCAGAAACTTCAAACCTAAACACTAGACTCTCAACCCTTAGCCTTTAAGCAGGGTTAGGTGGGTCTTAGGGTTTGAGATTTAGGGTCTCAGATCAAGGGTTTAGGTTTTTGACCTCGAATTGTCACGGGGGTTCATGCCCCCCCCCCCCCCGGGGTAGCTAAAGCTAGGGCTGGCGCCTAACGGCGTCGGACCACGGGCAACAACAACAACAAACAAACAAACAAACAAACAAACAAACAAACAAACAAACAAACAAACAAACAAACAAACAAACAAACAAACAAACAAACAAACAAACAAACAAACAAACAAACAAACAAACAAACAAACAAACAAACAACAACAACAAAAAACAACGGCGCGCGCGCGCGCCCGCGCGCGCGCGCGCGGGGGAACTGGTGCGTTTTCCGCGCGCGCGCGCGCATGTCGAGTGCCGTGTTATGGAGTTATGCCAGCATCCTTCGAAATCCTGCCGCCCGAAACCCTTTCCGGAGCCGCTGATGCTGCTGATGCTCGCCCCCCGGGTCCCCAAAGAGAAACGAAGCCTCGATGATGCGCACCCTGGCCCCCCGCCCGGCCGCGCATCATGAGCATCAGCGGCTCCGTCCAGGCATGCATGGCTTATAGGGGCATATGCCGGCCTCAAAACGGAAATGTCCGTAACAGCACGAAAACCACGCTATTTACAGCGATTTCTGTGTTTTCCAAGCTCTCAGCCGCATCCGAAACCCGAGACCCAACCCGCTGATGCTCATGATGCGCGCTCTTGTGGGGGTCCTTTGGGGTGGCCGATGCCACCCAAAAAACATCAACAACGCGTATTTGGCCAAAGTTGAAAAAGAGAGTCGATGATGCTCTCCGTGGTCGTTTTTGGGACCCCCCATGGGGCGCCCAAAAAATGCGTCCAGGAGCCCAAATTCGGTGGGAAATAGCGCGTTTTTCGCGATAAAAAATGTACCTGAAACATGATGCCCTTCGGAAGCCGCATTTGGAGCCGGATGTTGGGGAGCCTACCGGGTCAGCGGCATATGCGCCCCCCCGGGGTAGCTAAAGCTAGGGCTGGCGCCTAACGGCGTCGGACCACGGGCGTGCCCGGATTCAAGAGCCTCCGGCTCAAGCCGCCGACCCCGCTGGAGCATAGTTGAAAGGTTTAAACGCGCTCGTCAGCTCAAAGGATGCCAAAATTTGCTTGAGCCTCTGTTGTGAAACGTTGGGGGGGCGGGGTAGGGGCTAGCGCCGGGACCCAAACAGGAGCTGAAGCCAGCGTGAAGGAGGGCAGCCCCATCAAATCAAGCCCAACAAGCGGAGAGGGGGGTGGGGGGGTGGGGTGGGGGGGGGGGGGAGGGGGGTGGGGGGGGGGTGGGGGGGTGGGGAGGGTCGGCGGGTAAACCCTAAACCCTAAACCCTAAACCCTAAACCCTAAACCCTAAACCCTAAACCCTAAACCCTAAACCCTAAACCCTAAACCCTAAACCCTAAACCCTAAACCCTAAACCCTAAACCCTAAACCCTTAACCCTTAACCCTTAACCCTTAACCCTTAACCCTGAACCCTTAAACCCTAAACCCTAAGCCCTAAACCCTAAATCCTAAACCCCAAACCCCAAAAAAGGCACGGCGGCCACACCGAGCCCGACGCGCGCGCTGGTGGCCAAAGCCTCCCCCGCTAGGCGCACGGGCAAAGCGCCTGGGGGGCGTATTTGGGTTTAGGGTTTGGGGTTTAGGGTTTGGGGTTTAGGGTTTGGGGTTTAGGGTTTGGGGTTTGGGGTTTAGGGTTTAGGGTTTTGGGTTTGGGGTTTGGAGTCTTGGGGTTTGGAGTTTGGGTTTTGGAGTTTGGGGTTTGGGCTTTGGAGTCTTGTGGTTTGGAGTTTGGGGTTTGGGGTTTGGGTTTTGGAGTTTGGGGTTTGGGGTTTGGAGTCTTGGGGTTTGGAGTTTGGGGTTTGGGGTTTGGGCTTTGGGTTTTGGGTTTGGGGCTTGGGGTTTGGAGTCTTGGTGTTTGGAGTTTGGAGTTTGGGGTTTGGGTTTGGAGTTTGGAGTTTGGGGTTTGGAGTTTGGGGTTTGGTGTTTAGTGTTTGGGGTTTTGGGGTTTGGGGTTTAGTGTTTGGGGTTTGGGGTTTAAGGCTCGGGGTTTGGGGGGTTTGGGCTTGGGTTTTTGGAGGCTATCTGTTTCATTATTATAATGAGGGCCTCAGGGATCTGGGCTTAGGTTTTTGTGTTTTCATTGTTTTGGGGGGTGTACTGGGTAGGCCATGCACACCCAGTGTTTTTTCGCACAGTGACCCTAAAACTTAAACCCTAAACCCTAAACCCTACACCCTAAACCCTCAACCCTAAACCCCAAACCCTAAACCCTAAACCCTAAACCCCAAACCCTAAACCCTAAACCCTAAACCCTAAACCCTAAACCCTAAACCCTAAACCCTAAACCCTAAACCCGACCAGGCTTCGAATACAGTTTCGAGCCGAACGAGCAGATGTGAGTTCTCCCTCAGCCTTGGAGCAAGGCTGGCTCAGGGGTGAGTCGACTCCTAAACCGTTTAGGGTTTAGGGTTTAGGGTTTAGGGTTTGGGGTTTACAACCCTAAAACCCGCTGAGCGGCTGCTTCTGGAAATTCAGGCCTCGTACGGCTGCGCCGTGGCAGCCAACTCTGTGACTCGGATTCTCATGCGTTGGGTTCCGGGTTCGGCGTTTAGGGTTTAGGGTTTAGGGGTTTAGGGGTTTAGGGTTTAGGGGTTTAGGGGTTTGGGGGTTTAGGGTTTAGGGTTTCGGGGAGCACCCATGATATGTGGACCCGAGAAACCTGGACGCCAAAATTTGCCGCCCCGCCAGAACGCTGAGGTGACATCAGCATCGTGTCCGGCTTCGGGCGGATACAAGCCCACAAAGCCGTGCTCCCCGCTCTTATTCTGTGGAGGAGAACCCTAAACCTTAAACCCAAACCCTAAACCCTAAACCCTAAACCCTAAACCCTAAACCCTAAACCCTAAACCCTAAACCCTCCGAAAGAAACCCTAAGCCCTAGGCCCTAAACCCTAAACCCTAAACCCTCAACCCTAAACCCTAGACCCTAAAGCCGCCCTAAGCCCCATACCCTAAAGCGCCTTTCAGGCGCCCTGGGGACGCAGGGCCCTCTGTGTTTTCAGGCGCTCCAGACTATGAGGTTAGAAAGCTCAAGCCAGCGAATCCAACGGGGCGTCGCAGAATTCGGTAAGCTACTTGCTGCCTAAGCCCTAAACCCTAAACCCTAAACCCTAAACCCTAAACCCTAAACCCTAAACCCTAAACCCTAAACCCTAAACCCTAAACCCTAAACCCTAAACCCTAAACCCTAAACCCTAAACCCTAAACCCTAAACCCTAAACCCTAAACCACCCTAAACCCTATACCCCATAAACCCCATCGCTGCACTCAAATGCCATGCTCAAGGAAGACCACCCCATGGTGTTGCAATCAGGCTTCAACCTGACAGGGTCTCAGCGGTTGTAGGGCTACTGCTTAGGAGCTACCCTTTAGGGTTTAGGGTTTGGGGTTTAGGGTTTAGGGTTTGGGGTTTAGGGTTTGGGGTTGAGGGTTTAGGGTTTAGGGTTTAGGGGGAAGATGGTGGAGGGGGATGGCTGCCACCGAATCGCGGCGCAGCACCGCAAGCAGCTCGTGGGGCGGAAGATGGCCGCGCGGTCGCCCAACGGGCGCTTCCGCGCCGGGGCGCAGGCCCCGCGGCCTGAGTGATTGTCCAGAGGGACCCTATAAGCTTATAGGGACTATATAAGGCGTACATGGTTATAGGGTTCTTTAGGGGGGAGGGGGTCAAGGGGTGTATGTAACCCAAGGTTCCCTAATACTCCCCACTACTCCCTAAGGCTCCCTAAGCTTCCCCGAGGCTCCCTAGGTACCTTCCCCCCCATGAACTCCCCTCCTTTAAGAACCCTATAAGACAAGCAGCAGGCGACAAATTGTGATGATATGCATTGATGCAATAATTGCCAGCTCTCAACCAATAGTCTCCCAGAGGCAATGATGCTAGAATATGCCAACGTGCTAGAATTTCTTCAGCATACTCTTGTATACGATGCTTTACCAGATATGAGAGACCCCAACCCGCCGTCAACAGCGCAGTATCCATAAACCCCAAACCCCAAACCCCAAACCCCAAACCCCAAACCCCAAACCCCAAACCCCAACCCCCAAACCCCAACCCCCAAACCCCAAACCCTAAACCCTAAACCCTAGACCCTAAACCTAAACCCTAGACCCTAAACCCTAAACCCTAAACCCTAAACCCTAAACCCTAGACCCTAGACCCTAGACCCTAAACCCTAGACCCTAGACCCTAAACCCTAAACCCTAAACCCTAAACCCTAGACCCTAAACCCTAAACCCTAGACCCTAGACCCTAAGCCCTAAGCCCTAAGCCCTAAACCCGCAAGGCAGGCGCAGCGTAGCGGCTAGGGTACCCTATGGGATGGGAGCGCAGGCCATCGTCAAGAGCGGAGGAGTGCTGTTGAAGATCGAGGTCCATGGCAAGAACATGCCCCTCGGATGCAGGGTTTAGGGTTTAGGGTTTAGGGTTTAGGGTTTAGGGTTTAGGGTTTCGGGTTTAGAGCAACTTCAGGATCGGACTGAATCAGTGCACGTGCCCGAAACCCGCCTAAACCCTAAACCCTAAACCCTCAACCCTAAACCCTAAACCCTAGACCCTAAACCCAAAACCCTTAACCCTAAGCCCTAAGCCCTAAACCCTAAACGCCCCGAGGTTCTACTTCTTCGGGCTCCCGGGTAAGGCTCCGAGCCTCGTCGTCCACGTCCACTTTGGGCTCGCGGGCGCCTTTGCCGTCTACACGAAAGAGGAGCAGGGTTTAGGGTTTAGGGTTGAGGGTTTAGGGTTTAGGGGTTATAGGGGGTTTTGGGGGGGTTATAGGGTGGTTTCGGGTGGTTTTGGGGGTATAGGGTTTAGGGGTTTAGGGGGTTTAGGGGGTCCGGGGGTCATAGGGGGTTTAGGGTTCAGGGGTTAGGGGTTTAGGGGTGAAGGGGTTTAGGGTTTAGGGGTTTAGGGCTTAGCAGTTTTGTTGGGGTTTTGGGTTTTAGGGTTCACGTTCAGAGTGTAGTAGTTCAAGATTGGGGTTTCACGGGCTTGGAGGTTGGGGTGTAGCGTTGCACCAAAGGAGGAGCCCAGGTGTTTTTTTTAACTGAGCGGTTCGGGAGGGTGTCGCAGGGGTGTTTGGAAAAACCAGGAAGGTTCTTTGTGGGGAAGGCATTTCAAGGGCCTCAGGGTTTCAGTACTGGAACATTTCTGCAGGCTGGGTGGCGGGGTGGCGCAAGGCCTAACATAGGTAGGAGACTTGAACCGCACCGGATACAGAGCATGATGCCAGCTATTACTAGGCGGGTGTTTTTTTTTTGAGTGGCTTTTCGACTTGAAAATGGAGCTCATGTATGCATTGTGGTTCAGTAGTTTTTTTGGTTACGAAGCAGGAGCCCGAGCTCAGCAAGAGCATCCGTCTCCGCCTGGAGACCGTGGACCAAAAAGGCCCGCACATGGTGGCGCACCTGTCGGCCATGGTTGTCAAGCACGGCCCCCCGGCGGGCTTGGGTTGTTTTTTGTTGGGGGGCTGTCGGACGCTGCGACTCTGTAGCCCTCAAAAACCATCAGACCATAAACCCCGTCCCCCAAAAACCCCAAGACCCTCCAAACCCGAACTAAACCCTAAACCCTAAACCCTAAACCCTAAACCCTAAACCCTAAACCCTAAACCCTAAACCCTAAACCCTAAACCCTAAACCCTAAACCCTAAACCCTAAACCCTAAACCCTAAACCCTAACCCCCAAAACCCTCAACCCTCAACCCTCAACCCTCAACCCTCAACCCTCAACCCTCAACCCTCAACCCTCAACCCTCAACCCTCAACCCTCAACCCTCAACCCTCAACCCTCAACCCTCAACCCTCAACCCTCAACCCTCAACCCTCAACCCTCAACCCTAAACCCTATACCCTATACCCTAATACCCTAAACTCTAAACCCTCAACCCTCCTCTTTCTAAGGAAAGCCCGACTCCCTCTACCAGTCCCTGGTGGCCAAGCTGGGTGCCGACCCCCTGCGCGAAGACGCCGATCCCGAGAGCTTCGCCTCTGCCTGTGCCCTTAGGGATACTTGGGAATCATTTTTTTAGTTTTGGGGTATTGTAATTCCCAAGAAGCAGTTTTGGGTATTATAATTCCTAAGAAACAGCTAGAATGTTTTTTTTGGCTATTATACTTTGGGATGTTCACCCTTATACTAACAGTCCTTAATAAGGATTCTAGTATCCCCTACGATAATCCCTACTAAGGACTGTCAGTATAAGGGCCTAAGAGGGGGAACATCCCAGACGATACTTCCAAAGAAGCAGCTAAAATCACAACTAGGTGGGGCTTAACTACAACTTTATCACTTTATCAGTTTTGGGGTTCCCCGTATTCATATTAAGGGAGCAAAAAGTTAACTGTTATGGTGGGGTTAAACCCTAAACCCTAAACCCTAAACCCTAAACCCTAAACCCTAAACCCTAAACCCTAAACCCTAAACCCTAAACCCTAAACCCTAAACCCTAAACCCTAAACCCTAAACCCCTTAGGGCTCCAAGTTCAGCATAGGTGCAGGGGCCAAGAAGCCCATTGGCACCGTGCTGAGCCTGTGCCTGACCTTTGGAGGGATTTTGGGGCTTCGGAGCCCTCAACCCTAAGCCCTAAACCCTAAACTCTAAACCCTAAACCCGAAACCCTAAAGCCTAAACCCTAAACCCTAAACCCTAAACCCTAAACCCTAAACTTAGGCATCCTTGTTTTTCTGCGGGGTTGGTTTAAGGGGTACTCTGCTGGGATCCTGGTTCTTTGGAAACCACATTTTTTGGGGACGAGCTTTGGGGGCTGGTGCTGGATTCTCTTTGTAGGTCCAAGTGTTTTGGCATACATGAGGCCCATCCATCCACACATCCATTTGGTCTATTAGGGTTTAGGGGTTTAGGGGTTTGGGGGTTCGGGGGTTTAGGGATTTAGGGATTTAGGGGTTTAGGGGTTTAGAGGTTTAGGGGTTTAGGGTTTCGGATGTAGGGTTCAGGGGTATCCCTTACCTCGCTACTCTGCATCCAGGTTCTGTCGTGAGTTTTTTCCTGCTGAGGGTGGACCAAGCTGTCTGTGCTGGCGTGGGCAACATCTACCGCACCGAGATCCTGTATGAAGCTGGGATCCACCCCAAGCAGCCGGCCAACACCCTGACAAGGGCGGAGGTCTTGAAGCTCTGGAACACCGCCGTAAAGCAGATGCAAGCAGGCGCTCACTCCTGAGCCCCATAAGTCCTGAACCCTAACCCTTAAATCCCAAGAGCCCTACCTACCCTGAACCTTTTTCCCCCTCAAATCTCAAGAACCCCAAATGAACCCTGTACCCTGAACCCCAAACCCTTCAATCCCAAGAGCCCTCTACCCTGAACCCTGAACCCTGAGCCCTGAACCCCAAACCCTAAACCCTCAAATCCCAAGCTTGTGCCATGTGCAGGCTACAAGTCTGGCTCCATCTGGGGTGCCAAGGCCACCCGGACCCCAGCAAGCGGCTCTCGCTTTCTTTTGTTTCCTACGAGTTCGCTCAGAACAGTGGGGGGTTAGGGTTTAGGGTTTAGGGTTTAGGGTTTAGGGTTTGAGGTTTTAGTTTTGGTCTTAGGGAACTAGGTACCTTATCTCCCGATTTCCTGGAGTGCCTAGTTACGGAACTTGCCAAACTCTGCAGTGCAACACAGGAGCCTACAATATTTTCACCTGATTCCTGTATTATTAGCGCGAGTGTTTAAGGTGTGAAAGCTTCATGGCAGCTGCACCGTTGTGCCCAAACAACTTGAGTAGCCACTCGGAAAAATCCGGCTAGTTTGGGGTTTAGGGTGTGGGGTTTAGGGTTTAGGGTTTAGGGTTCAACGCCCGGGCACGGTGAGCGAGAGGCCGGAGCCTTCTGCTATGGCAAGACGAAGTCCTCGTGCGGCGGGAAGGTGAAGCACTGGAGCATGGGAGGCAGAATCCCTGAACCCAAAACTCCCTAAACTCCCTAAACTCCCTGAACTCCCTGAACTCCCTAAACTCCCTAAACTCCCTAAACTCCCTAAACTCCCTAAACTCCCTAAACTCCGTAAACTCCGTAAACTCCCTAAACCCTAAAGCCTGAACACCCAAACCCTCAACTCCCTGAAACACCAACCTAAAAAGCTCCTCGAGCTCCCAAACTCCTCCGCCTTTCCTAGAATCCGAACGCCCCAAGCCACCAACCTGGGTTTAGGGTTTAGGGTTTAGGTTTTAGGGTTTAGGGTTTGGGGTTTAGGGTTTAGGGTTTAGGGGCTGCTTCAAGTGTGCCGTAGTTCGTGAACAGCAAGCAAAGAGAGCTGCCGAACCTCCACCCGAAACCCTGCACCCTACCCCCCAAACCTTAAACCCCAAACCCCAAACCCTAACCCTGAGCCCTAAACCCTAAAACCCCCAAACCCATACCCCATAAACCCTCGAGGCAGGACCGTCTACGCCTGCCAGAAGCGCCAGCACCTGGAGACACGGCCGGCGCCGAAGGCACCCTAAACCCTAAACCCTAAACCCTAAACCCTAAACCCTAAACCCTAAACCCTAAACCCTAAACCCTAAACCCTAAACCCTAAACCCTAAACCCTGAACCCTAAACCCTAAACTCTAAACCCTAAACCCTAAACCCTAAACCCTAAACCCCAAACCCTAAACCCTAAACCCCAAACCCTAAACCCTAAACTCTAAACCCTAAACCCTAAACCCTAAACCCTAAACCCCAAACCCCAAACCCTAAACCGCAGGCACCGAAGAGCCCCGCGCTTCGCCGCTCCGGGACGCTGCACGTGGACGGCGTCGTCTCGGCTGTGAAGGATTGGGGGTTTAGGTTGTTTGGGGTTTAGGGTTGTTTAGAGTTTACGGGTTTAGGGTTTAGGGTTTAGGGTTTAGGGTTTAGGGTTTAGGGTTTAGGGTTTAGGGTTTAGGGTGGGGGTTTCTCAGATAAGTCTCCAAAAGCCCGAAAGCCCGAACACCTTATGAATGCTAAGGAGCAACCCGCAGCCTCATAAGCCCTGAGCCTTAACCATCAACCCCAGGCTTGACAAGCCCTTCCCTGCCCTCGCCCCTCCTTGTCGTTCGAGGGTGGGGGGGGGGGTCTAATTTTGCTTCATTGGCAAGGTGAAAGAGCATGAGGCTGGGTGCTTTAAAGCTTGGGGTTTAAGGCCCTAGGGTATGGAGCTGGCGGTTCATGGACTGCGTGAACTTTAGTATGCTATGAAGGTTATGGCATTCTTTGGTGCCGGGTGGGGTATTTCCTATCGCTTGAAAAGCTGCTTGACTAGTGAGAGCTTGAAGGTGAGATGCTGAACCCTAAACCCTAAAGCCAAAAACCCAAAACCCAAAACCCAAAACCCTAACCCTAAACCCTAAAACCCTAAACCCTAAACACAAGCCCTAAACCTTAAATCCCAATATCCTAAGCCCTGTAACAGGCCGAAAATAAGAAGCGGAGAACTGGGGAGGGACTGGGCGTCCAGCACGTTGCGCTGAAGGACGACGAGACCAGGCCTAAGTGTGTATTTCCGAAGAAAGGGTTTGGGGTTTAGGGTTTAGGGTCTAGGGTCTAGGGTCTAGGGTTTAGGGTATAGGGTTCAGGGTTTAGGGTTTCGGGGTCTCGGTGAGTGCATTCTCAAGTTTGTTGTAATCGATGTGATAGGAACAAGGGTGCCCTTCCTGGCGGGTGTTAGGGCGATAGGGGTTGAGAAGGCCGAGGGTTTGGGACTGAGGGGTTGAGGGTCACCAACTTGAAGCCTGTTCTGGGTTCAGGGCTTTAGGCGGATGGGGTTTAGGGTTTAGGGTTTGGGGTTTAGGCTTCAGGGGTGTTGAGAGGGGTTGGGGATTGAGGGTTTTTGTGGCGGGGCTTTGGGGCCTTGGGATTTTGAGGTTTTCGGGCTTTGAGGGCTTTAGGGCCTTTAGGGCCTGAGGATCCTACGGTTATCGTTTCTTGGCCGCTTTTTCACAGGGGGTTTGGCGCCCTGTGTCAGGGCCGCCACCTTGGCAGCTCGCGTCAAGAAGCGCCCAAGCAAGAGATGACCCTAAACCCTAAACCCTAAACCCTAAACCCTAAACCCTAAACCCTAAACCCTAAACCCTAAACCCTAAACCCTAAACCCTAAACCCTAAACCCTAACCTTAAACCCTAAACCCTAAACCCTAAACCCTAAACCCTAAACCCTAAACCCTAAACCCTAAACCCTAAACCCTAAACCCTAAACCCTAAACCCTAAACCCTAAACCCTAAACCCTAAACCCTAAACCCTAAACCCTAAACCCTAAACCCTAAACCCTAAACCCTAAACCGTGGCGACGTATGAGCCTCTCTGATGAAGGGCCGAGCCTTTCCCTGCAGACGTCCTGCGCGGCCCTTCAAGCCGTAGACGCCAACTCCTACAGACCCTAAGCCCCTAAACCAAAAACCATAGCCCGAACTCAAACATGAAGCCGCAATCCCTGAACGATGCCCTTAGCACCTATACCGCCTATACCCTGAACCCTAGACCCTAAACCCTAAAATCCTAAGCCCATTTTACAGTAATGTTTCACATGTTTAGGGTCGTCAGGAGCCGGGCTCTGCATGTGGATGGAAAGAAAAAGAAGGTGTTTAGGGTTTAGGGTTTAGGGTTTAGGGTTTAGGGTATAGGGTTCCTCTTTGTGCGTCTTGATTGAGAAGAGGGTTTCAGGGTGTGGGGCTTCGGGCTCAGTTTTTGGTAGGGCTCAGGTCTTAGAGCTTGGAGGGTTTAGGGTTTGGGGTTTAGGGTTTGGGGTTTAGGGTTTAGGGTTTGGGGTTTAGGGTTTGGCTAGGGAGTATAGCCATAGTTCAACATAGGAACCACCCAGAAGGTGAAAACCTTAACGCCCCTCCATCACTAAGTCCGAAGCCCCGGAACCAGTAAACTGTAACTGTTAAACGTCATGCTGCCTCAGGACACTTTGCTAACATCTGCTTATAGAGCAAGGGTGGTTTGCAACCCAAGGTTCCCTAATACTTCCCCACTACTCCCTAAGGCTCCCTAAGCCTCCCTAAGGTTCCCTAGGTAGGTACCCCCCCATGAAGCCCTCTCTTTTAAGAACCCCATGATCTGTGCGGTTGTGCGGCAGTTCGGCAGGAAACATTTTGAGGATAAATGGGGTCCAGCCGCAGACCTGAAACCCCAGGGTTTAGGGGTTCAGGATTCCGGGCTTTAGGGTCTTAGGGTTTTCGGGCTTTAGGGCTGTTTAGGTTTTAGGGGTTTTTGGGTTTAGGGTTCTTAGGGGTTTAGGGAACACTTTGAAGAAGGCATGGGGGGGGGGGGGGGTCGGTTTCGATTTTCGCGCGCTTTTGAAAGCCTAGGTTTGGGGCTCAGAGACATCAGAAGCCCGAAAGACCCACCCCCTAACACACTCTAAAAAAAATGAAGGGCCAATACTCCGGATCCCTTTAAGCCAGGGTAAGGGAACATACTCAGGGCCCATGTTGGGATGTGTTCCCATCATACGAATAGTCCTGAACATGAAAGTAAACGCGATGAAGATCCCTACCAAGCAGCTGTCAGTCTAAGGGGACCAAAATGCCCTGAACCCTAAACCCTAAACCCAAAACCCTAAACCCTAAACCCCAAACCCCAAACCCCAAAAGCCCTAAACCCTGAACCCTAAAGCCTAAAGCCCAAACCCTAAACCCTAAACCCTAAACCCTAAACCCTAAACCCTAAACCCTAAACCCTAAACCCTAAGCCCTAAACCCTAAAGCGTGCCAGGTGCTGGCAGCCCACTCCGACATCCTGGCGCAGCGCCTGCAGGCCCAGGGTTTGGGGTTTGGGGTTTAGGGTTTGGGGTTCAGGGTTTAGGGTTTAGGGTTAGGGTTTAGGGTTTAGGGTTTAGAGTTCGTGGTTTAGGGTTAGGGTTTAGGGGTTTGGGGCTTTCGGGTTTTGGGTGTAGGGTTTTGGGGTTTGGGCGTGGGGTTTAGGTGGCAGGGCTTGGGGAAACTATGGTTTCTGGTTTTCGGGGTAAGTAGTTTAAGGTTTGGGGCTTCGGGCATTTTAGGGCCGGGTGGCTGACCCGGCAGTATCTGCAAGAGGGTTGTCTGGCAAAATTTGGCATGGTTTAGGGAACGACTGCGTGTGCCACTCCCAAGATTCTTTCATTTCCAACACCCGGCCCTAAGCCCTAAACCCTAAACCCCTTCCTTCCTGTTTTTGGGTTTTGCCCTCTCTAACCAACAGTATATATGGGGGGGGGGGGGGGGCTCATATGGTCAAGACCCACACCCAAATCTTTGATTCCTATAGTCCCTAAACCCTGCAACCTTTTGCCCCTGAGGCTTAAGCCCCTGAACCCTAAATCCCAAAACCCCTAGAGCCTACATCCTAAACCCTAAGCTTGCGATGTTCCCCCTTATACGAACAGTCCTCAATAGGGAATATCATAGGGGGCACGACAGTCCCTACTAAGGACTGTTAGCATAAGGGGGAACATCCCAACTCTAAACTCTCTAGTTTTTTGGGAATCCCTCTTATTTTTTGGAGTGGGAGAACCTCCTAAATATTAAGAGCCTCCTGTTGCCCCAGGGTTTAGGGTTTAGGGTTTAGGGTTCAGGGTCCCTCAACGCCCTAAAGCCCTAAAGCCAGAGCCCCAAACCCTAAGCCCTAAGCCTAAATACGAGAACCCCAAACCCTAACTCCCTAAACTCCCTAAACCCTAAACCCTAAACCCTAACTCCCTAAAGCAGCCCAGGCCCCAAACTCTTAAATATCTTATCGCCGCCCAAACTCTCCCAAACCCCTAAAAGTGTTGAAACCCCCAAGCCCGAACTCCCTAAAACCCTAAACCCTAAACCCTAAACCCTAACGCCCCAAGCTCTTCAGTCTCTGAAAAGCGTCGAGGGCTCCAAACCCTACCTCCCCTAAAGCCCCTGAAGCCCAGAACGCTTAAGTCTCTGAAAAGCGCGAAAGCCTCAAACCCTACCTCCCCGCAAAAAACCCCTAAAGCCCCAAACTCCTCTGTGAAAAACGTCGAAAGCTTCAAGCCCTAAACCCCTTAAAGCCCCAGACTTTTGGAAACCCTAAACCCCAAATCCCAAACTCCAAGCCCTAAACCCTAAACCCTAAACCCTAAACCCTAAACCCCAAGCCCTAAGCCCGAAACCTCTTAGGTCTGTGAAGAAATGTCAAAATGGCTCTCGCGAGGATGGGTCCTCGGAACTCAGCTTCCAGCAGGTCGCAAGTGAGGGTTTAAGGGGTTTAGGGTTTAGGGTTTAGGGTTTAGGGTTTAGGGGAGTTTAGCAGTTTGGGGTTGTTTAGGGCTTTGGGGGGTTTCGGCTCGGGGAGTTAGGATAGGGCTCTGCGGGTTTTTGTTGGCTTGAAGGACTTACTCGATCAGTGTTGGGGATCCTTTTTACTTTTTGGGTTATGGGCTTTCTTATATATAAACAAAAAGGATCCTTTTTTCTTCCTAGGGTGAACAGGGATTAAGCTTATAGGGTGCAGTGTTTTGAGGGGTTACAGGGTTTTCGAGGGTTTTTAGGCTCCTTTTGTTGCTTTTTTTGGTTTATTGTTTTGTGGAAATTTCATGGTTTTGAGGCCTTCATAGGGTTTGTATGTAGGGTTCAGAGTTGTTTTTTTTTTTATGTTTCGTTGTCCGGGTTTCCTAGAGCACTTAAGCCTCTAACCCCACTTTCGGTTTTCGGCTACAGTGTTGGGGTGAAGTCGCCCCTTGTCTTGGGTAATTCGTAGGCTTGAAAAGGCTTAGGGTTCAGGGTTTTGGGGGGAAGCCCTAAACCCTTCACTCTACACCCCTAAACCCTTTAAAGCCCTAAACCCCTCACCCGGGCTTGCACTTGGGGAGCAACGTCTTCACCCTTCCTTGACGACCGCGCTTCCACGTGATGTTGGACTTGTGGTCAACGTTCGCTGCTTCCCTTCTCAACAAGGAGGGTCTTGACCAGGTCTACGCTTTTGAGCTTCACTCGATCGACAGGTCGGCCTAGTCTGCGGAGACGTTCTGCCGGGCAGTCTTCAAGCTTGATCAGCCTTATCGCTGATGCCGAACTTCTTGACATGATGTTCGAAGCGCTTAGTAGCCCAGTGGTACCCTTTGCCCCTTTTTTTGGCTCTGGGTTCCCTTATAAAGTAACCAACCCCAAACAGGGTGCCCTCATCATAATCTGGTTGCTGGGCTACGAAAAGCGTCTACGCGTGCTAGTTGGGTTGATCGTTCACTTGTTCATGCCGAGAGCCATGGACTTGCAGGCTAGTGGAAGCACAAGCGAGATCTCTAAACCCTAAACCCTAAACCCTAAACCCTAAACCCTAAACCCTAAACCCTAAACCCTAAACCCTAAACCCTAAACCCCTGAACCCCTAAACCCTAAACCGCTGAAAGCCCTAAACCCCTAAACCCCTCGACCCTAATCCCGGAAAGCCCAAAACCCTAGCCCTCGACCCTGAGACGATCCTGGAACCAGCAGCGGGGTTTAGACTGCAGGGTTTAGGATTTAGGGTTTAGGATTTAGGGTTCAGGGTTTCGGGTTTCGGGCCCTTTAGCATTTGAACTCTTTGCGTCCGAAACTCTCAGCCCCTAAACCTAAAACCTATAAGCGACAAACCCTCAACCTGTCGCGATTCTTGACAAATTCTAAGCACCCTAAGCCCCGAACCCCGATAAGCCCCTAATTCCCCTAAGCCCTAAACCCCAGTACCCAAGAGGCGAGCCACGAAGCTGTGGACTATGTGCGGGCCTTGAACAAAACTGTAGAGAGAATTTTTTGGGGTTCTTTGGAGCGGGCTTAGGGTTTCAGGGCTTTCGGCGTTAGGGGGCTGAGGGGGTCACTTGTTGGGGCCTTGCGGGTGTTTAGGGTGTTTGGGTGTTAGGGGGTTTAAGGGTTTAAGGGTTTCAGGGTTTAAGGGTTCACGGGTCTAGGGGTTTAAGGGTTTAAGGGTTTAAGGGTTTAAGGGTTTAAGGGTTTAAGGGTTCAGGGATTCAGGTCTTGAGGGTTTCAGTGTTCACAAGATTTAGGGTTGGGGGTGTACTTGGGTTTGAGGATCTAAATCCCTCTAGGCCCTAAATTCAATCAGTTCCTTGATCAGGTGGTCCGCTTTTGCTACGGCGAGGTCAACCAAGAGAACTTCCAACCATCAACGGCCAAGGCCCGCGGGTCCTTGCGTGATCCCTAGGCCCTTAACCCGGCATCCTAATCCCCTAACCCTGAACCGTAAAGCCTCAACCATCAACCCTGAACCCTACAACCTAAACCCTGCATACTAAACTCTAACCCTAAAGGATTGCCGTAATGGCACAAGGTTCGGAGGATTGGGGTGAGATTGGGGGGTTTTCGGGTTAGGGACCCCCAATCTTGACCCCCAAATGGTAGGACCCCTTTATAATCAGGACCTGGACCCTCAACCCTCAACCCTCAACCCTCAACCCTCAACCCTCAACCCTCAACCCTCAACCCTCAACCCTCAACCCTCAACCCTCAACCCTCAACCCTCAACCCTCAACCCTCAACCCTCAACCCTAAACCCTGAACCCTAAACCCTGAACCCCTACAACCGCAGCTCTGCTTTCGGAACCCCCCCTCCCCCGATTTGTGCACCGGAGGTCAACGAGGAGATCTTAAAAATCTCGTCCTGCCCTCGGAGAGCATTGACTGTTTCCTAGGTAGGATAAGCGCGGCCCTTAAAAGGGAACCCTTCTTAACCCTCTTCTGGCTCTCTTAAACAGGGACCTTATTCAGAGGGTCTATATCTCCAAGGGTCACCCTAATCCTATCCCCTACTATTTGGATGCGGAGGATGGCAGGATGCTCGGGTTTAGGGCCTGGGGTTTAGGGGTATGCTCAAGGTCTGGGTTTAGGGTTTAGGGTTTAGGGTTTAGGGTTTAGGGTTTAGGGTTTAGGGTTTAGGGTTTAGGGTTTAGGGGTTTAGGGTTTGGGGTAAAGGGTATAGGGTAGAGGGTTTAGGGTAAAGGGTTTGCTGGCTGCCAAAGCCTAAACCCTACTAAGCCCTGAACCCAGACACCTCAACCCACAAACCCGCATAGCCAACAAAACCCCAGACCCTAAACCCCCAAACCCACACTGCGTGTGCCCCTTGTATAAGGTTAGAACCATGGGCCCTTACTATGGTCCCTTACCCTTGTTTAGAGGGATCCGAAGTATGGGCCCTTGCTATGCAGAGTGTATATAGGGGTTCCATAACCCTAAACGCTAAACCCTAAACGCTAAACTCTAAGCCCTAAACCCTAAACCCCAAACCCCAAACCCAAACCCTAAACCCTACAGGACCCGAGTTAGGGGCCCCTGCCTGGAACCGTAAGAACCTTTGCTTTTGAGGTCGGAGTGCGGCTTGCCGGCCTTGTCAGAACTCTGCGCGGTGCGATGTGCAGACATCGCTCTTTTTTGAACCCTAAACCCTAAGCCCTAAACCCTGAACCCTAAACCCTGAACCCTAAACCTTAAGCCCGAAGCCCTAAACCCCAAACCGTAAACCCTATACCCGAAGTTGTAGTGCAGGTACGCCTCTCCGCTGATGCAACAACGGCCAATGCCGGCGCCTCCGACGTTTGTCCCAACACGTCGTTTCAGGTCAGTCTTGAGTCCAACCCTAAACCCTAAACCCTAAACCCTAAACCCTAAACCCTAAACCCTAAACCCTAAACCCTAAACCCTAAACCCTAAACCCTAAACCCTAAACCCTAAACCCTAAACCCTAAACCCTAAACCCTAAACCCTAAACCCTAAACCCTAAACTCTAAACCCTAAACCCTAAACCCTAAACCCTAAACCCTAAACCCTAAACCCTAAACCCTACAGTAGACCTTAAGCACTAAGCCCCTTAAGCCCGCAAGTTGCGAACCCGCACACAGATCGGTTTGTTTTTTGGGGTCGTGCTTCTGTGCTGAAGGTGCCAGAGAGCTGTTTGACTCCCAAAACATCTTTCTGTGATCTGGAGGATCACTGGACTTTACAGGAAGTTGTTTTGGCGCTTCCGTTTGAAGCAGACCTGTTTGTTCCGTAAATAAATAAATAAATAAATATATATATATATATATATACATATATACACACATACATATTCGTTTTTTTTTGCTGTTGTTGGTTGTTTAGTTTGCTTGCTGGTAGAGTTCCAAGCACCTTCTTGTCAAAAATGCGCAACCCTAAACCCTAAACCCTAACACTTAAGCCCTAAACCCTTAACCCTTAACCCTTAACCCTTAACCCTAAACCCTAAACCCTACAACCTAAACCCTAAAAACCCCTAAACCCAAATAACCCTAAAAACCCTAAAAACCTTAAAAACCCTAAAAACCCTAACAACCCTAAAAACCCTAAAAACCCTAAAAACCCTAAAAAACTTAAAAAACCTAACAACCCTAAAGACCCTAGAAACCCTAAACCCTAAACCCTAGACCCTAAACATTCAAAAACAAACAATACCCTAGACCCTAAACATTCAAAAACACACAATACGCTAGGACCCAGAGTAGGCCCTTGTTCCCTTTGTCCATGGCTTAGGTTCCCGTATAAGCCCCTGTAAACTAAACAACCTTTGTTGTTCCTAGGTTACTCTTAAGCCCTAAGCCCTAAGCCCTAAACCCTGAACCCTAAACCCAAAACCCTAAACCCTAAACCCTAAACCCTAAACCCTAAGCCCTAAGCCCTAAACCCTGAACCCTAAACCCAAAACCCTAAACCCTAAACCCTAAACCCTAAACCCTAACCCTAAACCCTAAACCCACGACCCTCAACCCTAACCCCCGACAATTGCTACCGAGGTGGTCGAAAGCGTGCGACTCTGCGAGGCGGAGACGGGTTTAGGGCTTTTTTGGGGAGGTTTAGGGTTTAGGGTTTAGGGTTTAGGGTTTAGGGTTTAGGGTTTAGGCTTAGGGTTTAGGATTTAGGGTTTAGGGCTCAGGGATTTGAAGACTTGAAGCCCCACCTCCGCAACGCCCACGCGCCAACCCCCGAAGACACACAAAGCCGAAAGGTAAGGGTTTAGGGTTTAGGGTTTAGGGTTTGGGGTTTGGGGTTCAGGTTTAGGGTTTAGGGTTTAGGGTTTAAGGTTTAGGGTTTAAGGTTTAGGGTTAAGGGTTTAGGGTTGGGACGTTCCCCCCCTATACTAAGATGTGCCATGGCTCATCGCAAGAAGTAGGGATGATAATTGGGGGGTACTATGGTCCCCATTACGATCATTACGGACTGTTAGTATAAGGGGGAACATCCGAGCATCCCAAGTTAAGGTTTAGTTGGGAAGCTTGTGAGCCCAACACTCTGAATCCTAAAGCACAACATTGAAGCCTGAACCCTGAACCAACCACCCAACGTAGCCGTGCTTTGCTCACAACAATTTCAGATATTTCAGCCATGGCTTTCGTGGAACGGCGCCTTCCTGCCCTGCAGCGGGTGTTCCTCGACCTCGATGCCAGGCCCTCTGCCCCGCAGAGCACTCTCCGTCGCTGCCGCAGTTTCTCCGGCTACACGTCGTTGGAGCCCGGCGAGGTGAACTTCGAGCTTGGCTCCGGGGGGGGGGGCGGCACGGGGCAGAACCTCGGCTGCTGAGCAGGTAGTCTTGAACATCCTTGAGCATTTTTGTGTACTACAAAAACACCCTCAAGACGCTTTGGTAAACTCAGGCAGGAAATGTAAAAAGTAGTCAGTCAATACTAACCAAATTATTCAACAACACATACACGAAGTTCCCCACGCCACGAGGAAAGCACCGCGGAAGACCTGCCTGTGACTCTTCCGGACACGGACGACGAGGAAGCGGTGGCTTGGGTTGAGGCGCAATCCGCCAACACCTTGGCTCCGCCAGCCGAAGGTACCGCGAGCAAATCTTGGTTCAATTAGTCGGAGTTCTTTTCTGCTGTTTTTGAAGCCACTCTTGGGAACACTTTAAACTAATCACCCCTGCTATTTCTCATCTAGGTAGCCCAGTGGTACCCTCTACTTTTATTCTGGGTTCCCTTCTAAAGTAACCCACCCCAAAAACTCTGACCTTGTTGTATATGGTTACTGGGCTACCAAGTCATCAAACCCCAAACCCTAAACCCTAAACCCTAAACCCCAAACCCCAAACCCCAAACCCCAAACCCTAAACCCTAAACCCTAAACCCTAAAGTCGTAGGGGTTGCAGAGGCATCGGTCTGTGGCTCACACCACTGGCTCGGTCGGGCGAAGAACTCCTGGATCGCTTCCTTGAGGGCTTTAGGGTTTAGGTTTTTTTGGGTTTGGGGAGTTCAGGGTTTAGGGTTTAGGGTTTAGGGGTTTGGGGAGTTCAGGGTTTAGGGTTCAGGGTTCAGGGTTCAGGGTTTAGGGTTTAGGGGTTTTAGGGAGTTCAGGGTTTAGGGTTTAGGGTTCAGGGTTCAGGGCTTAGGGCTTAGGGTTTAGGGTTTAGGGGTAGGGGGAGGGCAAGGCATGTCTACGGCACCGTCCCCAACTCAGGGCACCGAATGACGTTGATCCAGCTTGGAGGTTCATGCCACTTGTTAACTAGAACCGTAAGTAGGCCCTTGTTTCTTTTTTTAGGGTTGGGGTTCCCTTACAATCCCCTTAAAACCAAAAAGGGTACCCTTTTTATTCCGGGTCTAGTTAACCTTATAAGGCCCTTGAGTGCCCTAGTATGGTTTTAAGTACAGTGATAAGCACAGTTATAGTTGGTTCATGAGTACCATGAACCTCCAAGAGGACGTGCCAGACTACACGCCGCAGCGTACCACCGACCTCCAGCAGGGCTTTTGCTTCTCGGCAAGGCCCTTGGGACGTTTTCTATTTCCCCTTATTGGGTTTTAGAGGATCATAATCAGGAATATCTTTCAGAGAGTTTTTTGAGGGCCATCCTAGGCTACTTCCCGAGTGGCTTCACTGTCACCTGCTTGCCACACCAGGGCTGCGACAGTTTGAAGTGCGTCAACACCAGCACCGCGCAAACGTTTCAGAATGAACGGCGCAATCGGGACATGGTATACTCGCATGTGCAGGGCTTGCAGATGAACGCGGAGAACTGGTGCGGTTGCCAGATGCACCCAGCGAAGATGGCGATGGTACCTCCACCGGTGTCCTCTGCCTTGATGGCAAGGGAGCAACTTAGCAGCTGGATGAGCACACTTTACACTGTTTGGGATACTATAATCCCCTATAAAGCTGAAAGTGTACACTTTTGTGGGGCTTATGAACTCAGAAACTAAGGCAAACAGACCGCACGATATCCCAGCCGGCGCTCCCAAGCACGGGGGAGCAAGTGATGAGAGCCCAGCGTGCAGGCGCCGTGGCCATGAAGAAGGCGAGAGCCATGATGCCCGCCGTGGATCTTCAGCCGCTAGGGTGCCCAGTGGTACCCTTATTCCTTTTTGTTTTTTTTTTTTTGGGGGGGGGAGGGGGGGTTTGGGGGGGGGGTTTTGGTTCCCTTTCAGCAAAGAAGGGAACCCGTTTTAATCCTGGGTTGGGGGGGGTTTTGGTTCCTTTATAAATCGCTTTCAGCCAAAAAGGGCACCCTTTTTCATCCTGGCTGGGCAACCTAGGCCGACGGCTCCAAGCACTCGCCCTCGACGCGGGCGGCGGGCCCCAAGGTCCTTGACGCGGCCTGAGAACCGATCATAGGGTCGAAGAGATGGCTATAGGGGTCGGAATAATTACGAATAGTATTCCCTTATGGTCCCTTTAGAGTTATACGACAACGATGCCCAAAACCCTACCCTAACTGTTAAGGCCCCTATGTCAGCAGAGCTCGCCGCAAAACGGATCCGGTTGGAAGATCATGGGTGCTGATATCAGGGTCTGCCGAAACTGAGGGTTCAAACTCTGACGCTGAATCATCCGGGCTGCCAAACTGAACTAGTTGCACTGGCTTTGTTTCTAGTGCCTGGAGTCAGCAGAAGCCCAACTGAATTCAATCAACATGCATGCCTAAGAGCGCAACGACCTTTCAGATCAGCAACAGGTGATCTCAGAAAGGCACACTTGGTAGCCCAGTGGTGCCATTTTTTTGTTTTTAATCCTTTTTGTTGGTTGTAAGTTCCTTATAAAATAACCAACCCAAAAAAGGGTGCCCTGATTATAATATGGGCTACCAAGCACATGAAACTCCAACGAAGTTGGGGTCGACTCGCACTCGGCGGCACACGGTGCAGCGTAGGACGCCGTCTGACGAAGGGGGCCTTGACACGTCGTCAAGAACAGGAATTGGCCGCAGGTTTAGGGGTTTTGGGGCCCTTCGGCCGGTGAATGCTCACCACTTCTTGTGACTTATGGTCTGGTGCCGTGATTTTAGCGACGCGTGACAAGTCTACAGGCCACGGGCCACCTTATAGCTCTGCAAAGTGCCACAGCCAGAGTCGATCAACTTTGACAAGATCCAGGTCCTCGTTTCATACCGCATCCTTCACAGACCGCAAACCTTGAGTCGTAAGCCCTACACCCGATACCTCATGCCCTTTTCTTCGGAGGAGTCCCTGGACTAGGATGCCCAGTACGACCCTTGTTCCCTTTGCATAGGCTTAGATCCCATATAAACCCTTTGATGCAACAAAAGGCGCCCGTTTTCGTCTGAACGACTGGGCAACCTAGTAGATGTACCTCCGGGATGGGGGGTTCCATGCCCGTTAAGAACGACCAACTATCCTGGAGTCAGGCCTATCCTGGGGTTGATTTCGACACAGTATTGAACATCTATAGGCGCATGTGAGCTTTGTTTAGGCTTTGTGGTACTTTCCTGTAACTTTAGATCCTTACCTTTTTTGGGTTTATTGGGTTTCTTAATCAAGTAGGGTGCCCCAATCCACCCCAGTATAGCCCCCTGCGAGAGCGTCGGCAGCTTCGTCTGCCGGTTCGCACTGTGAACGTCTCGTCCAAGTGGGCGGGGATCAGTCTGCTTTGCATGGCCTAAGGTAGGGTTTAAGCTGCTACTACTTACTTTTTGGTTGGGAGGGGGAGGGGGGGGGATTCTTAGGCAATTGGTAGGTTAGTACCCGAAACCCGAAAGCCTAAGCCCTAAACCCTAAACCCTAAACCCTAAACCCTAAACCCTAAACCCTAAACCCTAAACCCTAAACCCTAAACCCTAAACCCTAAACCCTAAACCCTGTGAGGGTAAAGGGTTTCTGGGATGTCGGGGCCTTTGGTCCGATGCATCAGGGTTTTGGTATGGTTTGGCGATGCATAAAGTTCTCTGCCATCCTCAGCTGGCTGTTCAAAGGGTTTAGGGTTTAGGGTTTAGGGTTTAGGGTTTAGGGTTGCCATCTTTCGAAGGCAGATCCCAGATTGTACCGTTCCTTCGTGCTGTCTGCACCCAGGTCTTCAGGCAAACTCCTTCTGACGGGCAAGAGGGTCAAAATACCCGTCTTGAGGCCCTGAAGCGAACATGCTCATATTTAGGGTTTAGGGTTTAGGGTTAGGGTTTAGGGTTTAGGGTTTAGGGTTTAGGGTTTAGGGTTTAGGGTTTAGGGTTTAGGGTTTGGGGTTTGGGGTTTAGGGTTTAGGGCGCACCTGCGAGATCCCGAAAAGCGAGGCATGCCGCCGGGCCCACCACAGATTTCAACGACAGGGGTTTAGGGTTTAGGAGGGTTTAGGGCTTAGGGTTTAGGGTTCACGTTTAGGGTTTAGGTCCCTTACCCTTGGTTTATAGCCCTAAAACTAAACAGCAGCTGAACCCTGAACCCTGAACCCTAAAACCCAAAACCCTAAAACCCTAAAACCCAAAACCCTAAAACCTAAAACCCCAAACCCTAAACCCTAAACCCTAAACCCTAAACCCCCGTTTTTGGGAGGCCTTCGGGCTCTCCAAGCTGCGCGCCGCGCTGGTCCAGGGCATCGTGGAGGAGGGGTTTAGGGTTTTAGGGTTTAGGGTTTGGGGTTTAGGGTTTAGGGTTTGGGGTTTGGGGTTTGGGGTTTGGGGTTTAGGGTTTAGGGTTTAGGGTGATTTTGTGCAAAGACCCTGAGGGTTTTAGGGGGGATTCGGGGTTTTGAGGGTATAGGGTTTAGGGTTGGGGGTTTGGGGGTTAGGGTATAGGGTTAAGGGGAATGAGGGATACAGGGTACCTCATTCCCACATTCCCTGCTAAGAACCAGGGGTTTTAGGTTTTGGCGTTTTAAGGGTACAGTGTTTTGCGTTTGGGGTTTAGAGTTTAGGGGGCTGAGGATTTCGACCCCGCCTGAGCCCTGAGTCTCTCTGAACCCCAAAGCCTGAACCCTCACCCGAAGATAACCCCGGAACCCTGATGAAAACCCAGTTAGAAAACTCGGAGGGGGTTTATAGTGCTGCGGGGCAGAAGGTCCCTGAGCCATCCTGATCCTGGTGCATGTTACGATAACAGCTACTTTCGAACAGCCAGGACAACACCCAGCAATTCCCAATATCCCAGGATCCTAAGATAAATTCAGGGTGTCTCTAGGGGGTCCCCACCGGGTTTTTTCAATTTCGAGGGGGATTTAAGGTTCGGGGGGATTACGGTTCGGGGGGGGGGGATTGCTGCAGGCACTGTCGGAAAGTCGAGGAGGGGTCAGGGTTTAAAGAATGAGGCTTAAGGCGTTCGGGTTGGGATGCTTTCTGGCTTGAGTATTCAAGGTTTAGGGTTCCGGGTGCGGGTTGCATGGGGGAATTTCCCCCCCCCTTCCGGATCTGTCCAGGACCAAGTGGTGCCTGGCACTGAGTGTGGGGCCTTTCATCTTCGCGATATTTTGCTGAAGGACCTAAGGCTTGTAAGGTTTGAGGGTTCTGGGTTAGGCTGGTGCATGCAAAAATGTGGCATAAGCACTGTGGGCATGCGTCGTGGGTAGACGTAGACGCACATGTGCATTCATATGCCGCCCTACTACCCCCCGAAACCCTAAACCCTAAACCCTAAACACTAAACCCTAAACCCTAAACCCTCCTAAACCCTAAACCCTAAACCCTAAGCCCCTAACCCCTAACCCCTAAACCCTAAACCCTAAACCCTAAACCCTAAACCCTAAGCCCTAAACCCTAAGCCCTAAACCCTAAACCCAAAACCCTAAGCCCTAAGCCCTTGAGTCCCAGTCCCTTCACGGGCTTCTCAGGCTGGATGCTGTTGCAAAGGACCCAGCGACGTGCGCCCCCCCGTTGTCTTGTGGGTTTAGGGTTTAGGGTTTAGGGAGTTTAGGGTTTAGGGAGTTCCGGGTTTAGGGTTTAGGGTTCAGGGCTTAGGGTTTAGGGGTTCGGGTTTCCGGAGGGTCCTTTGCAGCCCTGCACCCCAAGCCGTTCTGGCTTTGTCTACAGGCTATCGGGTCAGGTGGCCTGACCTGGCCGCATCAGCCCTCCCCGATCCCGGAATAGTTGAAGAGCATGTTGTCCGAGAAGCAAGAAGCCCTAAACCATAAACCCAAACCCTAAACCCTAAACCCCAAACCCCAAACCCTAAACCCTACCTAAGGGTAGTTGTATGGGCCCTTAATATGGTCCCCGCTGGGCCCTTGGGTTGTAAAGGGTAATAGGGGTATTTAAGGGGTCCCCTTTTAAGGGCCCATATTAAGGGAACACGTAACCACCCCTGAGTTGAGAGCATCCCAGGCTAACTCATCCGCCATTGATGCGCGAGCTTTTGGTCCGGAGCCTACTGTGAAGTCGAGTTCAGGGCCTGCGAATCCCCAAACCCCAAACCCCAAACCCCAAACCCCAAACCCCAAACCCCAAACCCCAAACCCCAAACCCCAAACCCCAAACCCCAAACCCCAAACCCTAAACCCTAAACCCTAAACCCTAAACCCTAAACCCCTCAACCTCAGCCCCTAAACCCCCAAGCCATCCCTGGGCTTTCTGCGATGCCCAGGCTTCCATTGCCAGCAAGGCACGCCCTCCAGAAACACCTTCAAGGGTTTAGGGTTTAGGGTTTAGGGTTTAGGGTTTAGGGAAGCCTTGAGTGCGACTCTTTAAGGGGGGGGTTTAGGGTTTAGGGTTTGGAGTTTAGGGTTTAGGGCTTAGGGTTTGGGGTTTAGGTGCAGGGTTTATACTTGGGCCTGTTCTAACACCAACCCGGTCCCGAACCTGTAAACCCTCAGCCCCCTCAGCCGTCTCCTGCGGCTGCTCTTGAGCTTGGTTGGGGGTTTGGGGTTTTGGGTTTGGGGCGAAGGTGAAAGGGTTTAGGGTTTAGAGGCTTTCATGGGGCATAGAGCATGGGCGCGAACAGGAACTCCCCGCCGCCAGTGCGAAGCCCCACATCGCCCGAACCCTACACCCTCAACCCCATCCCAACTCCCAACCCTAACTTAAACCCTAAAACCTAAGCCCTAAGCCCTAAACCCTAAACCCTAAACCCCAAACCCTAAACCCCAAACCCCAAACCCTAACATCCAAACGCCAGGCTTGACGCCTTGCTCCGAGACGCTGGGCCGTCGGGGGTGTGTGTGGGGATGGGTTGGTTGGCTGGTTCTTCGTAGGGAATCAGGGAATGAGGTACCCTAAACCCTAAACCCTAAACCCTAAACCCTAAACCCTAAACCCTAAACCCTAAACCCTAAACCCTAAACCCTAAACCCTAAACCCTAAACCCTAAACCCTATACATTCCCTCATTCCCTACTCAGAAACCAGGGGGGTTGGATCCCGACGGAGGCTGTGGAGGACTCTCTGAGGAGAGCTTCTCCGAATTGCGTGCCCTGCGGGCGGGGGGGAGAGTGGCAAAAAGGAGCGCTCAGAGTTTGGGGTTTGGGTTTAGGGTTCAAGGGTTCAAGGGTTCAAGGGTTTAGGGTTTAGGGTTCGGGTTTAGGGTTTAGGGTTTAGGGGTTAGGGGTTAGGGGTTTAGGGTTTAGGGGTGGGGGTTTACGGTTTCGGGTTTAGGGTTGCTTCGGGGAGGTGCTGTAGGTTGCGGGTCGCGCCGGCCTTTGCTAGGTAGGCCCTTGAAACATGGTATATGGTTTAGGGTTTGCGGTTTAGGGTTGAGGATCCTAAACCCTAAACCCTAAACCCTAAACCCTAAACCCTAAACCCTAAACCCTAAACCTTAAACCCTAAACCCCAAACCCTAAACCCCAAACCCCAAACACTTGTACAGAGCTGACCATGATTCTCCATCGCCTGCTTCGCTGTCGGACCCAGCTCGTAAGGGAACGGGCACGGTGCCCCAAAACCCCTCCGAAAATCCCTAAACCCTAAGCCCTAAGCCCCAAGCCCTAAACCCTAAACCCTAAACCCCAAAGCCTAAAGCCTAAACCCTAAACCCTAAACCCTAAACCCCAAACCCTAAACCCAAAACCCTAAACCAAACCCGAATCCTGCCCCCGCGGCCTTCAACCTAATCCTAAGCCCTTTCACCCTAAACCCTATAACCCTCTTCCCTGGTCCCTGGGCCATGTCTGGCGCCGTGGATGACTTCGTGGAGACTTGCCTGGAGATAACCTCACAAGCCCTCGCCCTCGCGTGAGGGCCGCTGTTGAGGGGCTTCGGGGTTCAGGCGCCTTCAGTTTGCTTTCAGTGGCTTAGGACGCTTCGGGGTTCTACCTCAACCCTGTAAACCTTCAACCCCAAGCCCTTCAAGCTAAACCCTAAAACTATCCACCCTATAAACCCTGTAAACCCTATAAGCCCTATGTGCTCTATAAACCTGAAGAAGCTCTCTTCAAACCCTTAGCTATGCCCTGTACGTCCTCTAAACCCGAAACCCGAGACCATATCCCCCAAACCCCAAACCCCAAACCCCAAACCCCAAACCCCAAGCCCCAAACCCTAAACCCTAAACCCTTAGCCCCCAAACCCCAAGCCCCAAAAACCCTAAGCCCAGGCGATCTTCCCTCAGCTGGTGGCCCCATTCTTCTACACCGGAGGCGACCGGAGCATCACCCCCGTCACGGATGGCACGCTGGTCGTCCCAAGGGCTGGCCACCTTGAGCTGCCCTGCTTATAATAATAATAATAAGAATAATAGTAATTATTATTTTATTTATATTTATTATTTATTGTGTTTTTGTATGTTGTGGTGAATTTTTTTTGGTTTCTTTACTAGGGTTTTTGAGGGATTTTTTTTGGGGGGGGTCTTTTTGGGTGTGTTTTGGGGTCGTTTTGGGGTGTCTTGTTGGGTTTTTCCGGGTCTTCTTGCCTAGAGGCCGAGAGTTGATGTGGCTTGCCTGATGAGCTTGGCAGCCCTAAACCCTAAACCCTAAACCCTAAACCCAAAACCCTAAACCCTAAACCCTAAACCCTAAACCCTAAACCCTAGACCCTAAACCCTAAACCCTAAACCCTAAACTGCAAAGCCGAGTCTTTACGTCTACAAGAACGGCGTCCAGACTCGGGAGTTCCGCAGCCGGCTCCCGACCGTCCTGGAGGTGAGCTCCGGTTTCAGCGCTGGCGACTTTGCAGGGAAGCTCCAGGATTGGGCTGAGGGTTTAGGGTTTAGGGATTAGGGTTTAGGGTTTAGGATTTAGGGTTTAGGGTGGGAGGTTCTAACAGAGTCCCCAATAGGGATTCTAATCGGGGGGTACAATTAATCCGTACTCAGGACTGTTAGTATAAGGGGAACACTTCAACACCAGGATTACAAGAAGATCTTCGCAGCGCTGTGCCCCGAGTTCGAGAATTACACGCACGAGGTCCTAAACCCTAAACCCTAACCCCTACCCCCCTAACCCCTAAACCCTAAGCCCTAAACCCTAAACCCTAAACCCTAAACAGGTCTGCGAGTACGGCAGCCACTTCCGCACCTCCACGGACCTCAAGGTCATCAGCTGTGGTGAGGCCCATCTTGGGGATGTTTCCCCTCTTATACTAACACTCCCTAATAGGGTTTAGGGTTTAGGGTTGAGGGTTTAGGGTTAGGGTTTAGGGTTTAGGGTTTCGGGTTTCGGGTTTAGGGTTTAGGGTACCCGCCCTGTTAAAGATCCCCCATTTAAGGACTCTCATTATAGAGTTGAAGATCCCGAGGCCAACGGCTACTTCGACCTCGTGGTCACCCACAGCATTGGCCTCGATGCGCCGATCGAGGCCGTGAACTACGGTAGCAGGAGCGCTTGGGGTTTAGGACTTAGGGTTTAGGGTTTAGGGTTTAGGGGTTTAGGGGTTTAGGGGTTTAGGGGTTTAGGGGTTTAGGGTTTAGGGTTTAGGGTTTAGGGTTTAGGGGTTAGGGGTTTAGGGGTTTAGGGGTTTAGGGGTTTAGGGTTTAGGGTTTAGGGTAACAGTCCTTAACAGGGATTCTAGTACTCCCCTAGTAAGCTCCCCATGAAGGACTCTTAGTAGAAGGGGGGAGCATCCCACAGGAGCTCTGCGAAGTGGGCGCACTCTGGCGACACCAACGGTTCGGACACCAAGCACGTGCAGAACCTCGTCCACTTGGCCAGCTTCAAGGGCATGGCGCCTTGGGGATACTTGGGAAGATTTTTTTTTGGGGGGGTATGGTACTGCTTAAGAAACAGCTGAAATTACTTGGCACTTTAAAGATACTTGGGAAGAATTTCTAGGTTTTGGCGATGATACTTCCTAAGAGGAAACAGGCAAGACATTTTAATCTTCGCCAGGGTTCCAAGCTCAGTTAAAAAAAGGCGCCAGAGGGCCTGGTGGGACATTGCGTCATCGTGGGGTACCAGAAGAAGCCCCTGCACTCCTGGCACGGGAAGTCCACGGGACTCTTCGTCCTCGATCAGACCTCGCACAAGGCCCGCTTTGTGCCGCTGGACCTGGCCAAGGCTGCAGTGGCAGAGAACACCGTCATCATTCCCTTAATGTCCCTATATCCCCCTTGGTATTCTCTTTTATTTATTTATTTTTTATTTCCGTTTATAAAACCCAAGAGGACATCAAAAATATGATGTTTCTTAAGGTTCCAAGGGGAGTGTAGGTACCGGGCGGCTGAGGGCGACACGGGTGAAATCGACTGGTGGATTCCCCTGCAGATGCCAAGCGGCATGGGGGACACCGAAAACGTCCATGACCAGCCCATCCTCAAACGCCACCGCCGCTTCTTGGTAGCCCAATAGTGGTACCCTAAACCCCGATGTTTTGGGTCTTGTAAAGTAGCCAACCCCGAAGGCGGGGCACCCTAAACCCTAAACCCTAAACCCTAAACCCTAAACCCTAAACCCTAAACCCTAAACCCTAAACCCTAAACCCCAAACCCCAAGCCCTAAAAACCCTAAACCCTAAAAACCCCTAAGCCCTAAACCTGAATATAGTTTCCGGGGCCACGAAGGCTTCGAGCCGCCTCCTCCACAGGCCGCTGCCCCGCACCCGGCGGCCCCGGAGCCGACTCCTCAGGCGACAGCCCCGACGCCCGCGCCTCCCGTGCGCCTTTGCTTACCTTCGCCTTGAGTTGAACTTTTAAAACTTTTTGGGTTTCCTTATTTTGGTGGGAATATTAGAGTTTAATGAACTTTAAACTAAACTTTTAGGGTTTCCTTATTTTGTAGGAATGTTCGAGTTTAACATTTTTTCCCCTTGGTTTGTTGGAGAAGTAAGTTTGGGTGCTTTCAGGAACCCATAAGGGGGGTTTCCGAAAATTCGGGGTACCCTTATTCGGGTTCCTTTAAAAGGGTTCTAGGATGTTGGGGAGTATATGAGGGCTACCCCTATATTCGGAAATCCCCATATGGGGGTTTCCGAAATTCGGGGTATCTCATTGGGGTCCTTATGATAAGGGAATCCTACTATTTGGGGTCTTTTTGGGGGGTCTCTGATTTTCGTAAACCCGCAGATGAACCAAACAGTACGTTGAGGTGTTTGCTTATATAACAAAGGATATTCGGCCATTTTGTGAATAGCATATTTGAGCATTTAAACCTTGTCCATGTTTTGGATTGCCTTTCACAGATGTACTCTTTGCTGGCAAAAAAGTTACACTCCTGATTTGATGTCCTTAACCGAGAGCCCAGCAACCATTAGGCAAGGAACGCACCTTCGTGACAGCTCGGGTGTAGGTCACGGCGCATTCCTCAGGGTTTAGGGTTTAGGGTTCAGGCCCTAAACCCTAAACCCTAAACCCTAAACCCTAAACCCTAAACCCTAAACCCTAAACCCTAAACCCTAAACCCTGATGCGCTTCTGCCAGAATTCTTGTTTGCTTTCCTGGCATTGTGAGAGACCTCGTGGCCCTGGAACGCCTCCCCCCAGCCCCCCACCCCTGCAGCCACAGCCCGAATCTCTGAGCCCTTTCTTTGGGATGTTCCCCCTTGTGCTAACAGTCCTTAATCGGCATGACAATGGGTACTAGAATTCCCCTGCAAGGACTGTCAGTACAAGGGGAAACTTCCCAACCCTTTCTCATGAACTTTCAGTTCTTTCGAGTGGGGTTGCGGGTGCATCCTGGTACCCGAAGCAATGGGAACTATATACTCTAATCTTTAACCTCACTCATGCCGCAACAGTCCCTAAACCCTAAACCCTA